CATTACAGTATTGTTTTATGTTTAAAAAATCTGAGGGTTTAATGTCACTTTAAGCATTTAACGCTTGCAATGCTTTGGGTTTCTACACCCTATAGTTAAGGCTTAAAATATTACCTCCTTATTATTGACATTCTTTGTAATCAGAGTTGTCCCTAGCCTATTCGCTGCGGGGGGTGGGTGGGGCAGCCCACCACTGATGTCACTGGTTACCTGGATGTCCGGCCCAGATACTGACAACCAACCTGGATGCCAGGTTGAGCTGGGCAGGAACCTGGCCAGAGTACCCCAGGTTGCTAAGATCTGGGTGTGGAGATGTGTATTGCCCTGGCATTTCTTTCATTGTGCAGTAGAGCGGCCATGCCGCTCTACCTGCCACCCCACACGTGACCCAAAGAGATGCCGCCTGAAGCAACAGCCTTGGGCTGCCTCATAGAGATGGCCTTGTCTGTATTGTTTATGAGATGTCTATTGAGAAGAGCAGGAAAAGAATCTGTTTGAGATAAAAATATAAATTCTTCAAGAGAAAAACTACCAATTTATCAGAAATAAAGGCAATTAAAAAATAATTCTACACCTATACAATGTTTTGATCTGTAATTGAATAGTTTTTTTTTAGAAACGTATGTGGTAAACTCAGAGAAAGTATCTTGTATAGCAAAGTGAACTGACCTTGAAGTATGGCTACAGTAATACTTGTTACAACTAACTGAATAGATTACCATCATAAGCTTTACAGACAAATTAGAACAGGGTGACTGATGACAAGACCTGAACTGCAGTAAAGTTTACAGTTGTGTCCTCTTTATCCAATATAAGGTAAAACTGCATTTTTCATCTCCTGTCAGTGCCTAGCAAAATTGAGCCTAAGGCCTCATACGTGTGAGCAGTATTAAATCTTGCTGTTAATCTGCAGAGCCTCAGATCCAACAAGCATTTAACCAATTTCAAGCAGCTGCCTAGAAGATTTTAAAGTAAACCTTTTCTAAGGTCTCATTCACACGAGGTGTGTTGCCCCGTACAGCATGAAGGCCCGGTTGTTGTTGATCGGGCAGCTCAAGTAGATGCAGGAGCAGTGTGACCTCACATGCTGCTTTCTGCAGCTCCAAGTTTTGACAGTCGCGCACACAGCCGGTGTATGCCCTTGGATGGAGACGTGATGGCTCCAGGCACGTGTGTGTGGCTGTGAAAACTTGGAGCTGCAGGAAGCAGTGTCTGAGGGAGCACAGCTCCTGCGTCTCCATTGAGTTACATGTGCTACCTGCATGCTTCTTCCTGCAGCTCTGAGTGTATCAACAACCAGCCCTTCACCATGTACAAAGCAACACATCCCATGTGAATGCTAAGGGAAATATGTAGGACTCCTTTTGCTGAACTCCTGCTTAAATTGCTTGTTCCCTGACCTTTATGTCGACACAATGGCTTTCAGTCCCTGACCTGGAACAAGTACACAGATTAGTAAAGTCAGTATAATGTCAGATGTCTTTATCTTCATGCTTGTGCCAGGTTTGTGACTCTAAAGCTGGCCATTCAATGTTTTTTTTTTTCTTTTTCCTTCTTCAGCCCCACAGGGTTAAATGAGAAAAAAAACTTGATTGTCCCATCCACACTAGCAGCAAGGATAGAGGAAACCCCCTGGCAGGCTATTGTATTTTCACAACAGTGGGTGCACCGCTGACAAAAACCCAACTAGCCCTGTTGCTTATTGGGTGCAGTCACTGTTCAGCCGTGATTTTTCAGACTGTCTCTTCCACAAAAGTCAATTGAAAAGTCGACAGCAGCTGAGACACCCCATGCGTCACTGCACCAAATCAGTCAAGCAAAACAAATGGCAAACGCACTCATCAATTTTTAACCAGCTTTACAGCAAGGTGCACATGGAAGGGCTTTATACAGTGCATGTGTCCCTGTGCCTTTAAGGAGGTTGGGTTTCCTCCTGACAAACCTGCATTCAATTTTATCTTTTGCCACATGTGCTTCAAGATGGAGACTCTCATAGTTTAGAGTTAGGGCCGCACTATATGGAGGTGCCTTGGCGAGGCGGCTTTCACATTTTCTGCAGAAGACGTGTATCTAAACCTTTGTTTTTAACCTTAACGGTGAGACAAGTTTTTTTGCATGCTGGCTGGTGAGTGTGCTGGGAAACTTTTTGCTGATGTCCCCAGTATAGACACAAACAGCAACAAAAACTTGTCAGAAGTTCTGACTTCTCCTCTTGTCTCAAATGCTTTTCCTCTCCAAAGTGGAGATATTGGAAAGTTTGCAAAGCATCATCAGTGCACTTATTTTCATGATGTGACATTTCAGGGACACAAAGGAACAAGTTAATCAAATGAAACAGTGTTTAATTACTGTTGTCACTGTGCTTCTTGCTTGATGAAGGGACATACTAGGTTCCGAAACGTTGCTTTGTACTTGTAATGCCATGTGTATCTGTCGTCAATAAAAGGACAGATTGATGCATTGGACCTAGGTGTGCCAGTGACTACTTCTACACTTCTATAATTGCTGCCTGTGTTCCCAGTGGAGATATCCTCCTTGTTTCCTGCCATAACACTTGTCAAATAGACAGGAAGTGAGGGGATGTGTCCTCGCTGCAGATAAGGGCAGCGATAAAAAGACAACAGGGGTTCTATTTGGGTGGATCACTTCTACAGTTCACAAATGCTCCCCCCTGCTGGATTACCCCTACCATGTATCCTGGACTGACCTGTCTCTCCAGGTTGCTCAAGACATTCATGCTGGATGTCAGGATGGAGAGGAGCAAAAATATATGTGCTCCTTGTATAAAATGTAACTGGAAGCAAGAAGACTTACATCACTTCCAGTTTCATTTGCTGTGGTTGGGTATGAAGCTGACCGATCGTGCTTGTTTTGATTTATTGGAGTGCAGAAGGGTCATTGGGGTCTATGATGTCTCCTTAAAGGGGACCTATCACTACCAGTGTGTCAGCCCTCTATGTGATAGCAATAGGGTTAAGTGGAAAAAAAAAAGGTTAAATAATTTACATGCGCATGCAAACATAAACACATGTGTCGGGTGTGCCTGTGTACAAAAACGGCAATCGCGCCACACATGTTAGGCACTGATGTGCACACTGGAGTGAGAGCAATAATTCATGGTTAACTCCTATGGAAAGTGATCCGTTGTGGATTGCTTTTCAGAGGGTGGTAGAGCACCAGGGCTCTGGCGATACTGCCACCTCCTGAATGTGGCTTTTTTTGAAATCGTCCATTGAAATATTGTGCTACTACTGCGTACTGTACAACTGTGTACCCACGTGGTTGCAACGCGGTTCCATTGATTGCAATTGTCAAGCGGCACTGCCTGCCAAACACTACATGCTGTTTAAAGGAGAACTATGGGGGTCAGTGTTTTGCCCAATAGTTCTCCTTAGGGTAACGGGAGGACACAAACTAGCGTCCTCCCGTTACCCTAAGCTCAGTATAAGCTACAGCTCACGGTATACTGAGACGCCGCAGCGGACCTATCTAGAGGCAGAGCCAGCTGTACCCGCCCCCTACCCGTCCGTTCTGCCAGTCAGCGCTGGCAGATCGGAGCGGGGAGAGGGGAATCCAGCCCCTCCCCTGTCACAGCAGAGAGCCGTGACAGGATCGAGAGGTGAGCAAACCCGGTATGTGTTCGCTCACCTCCCTATCTACTGAGCCGACCTGTGACAGTCTCATTGTCACAGGTCGGCTAGAACTATGAGGTGAGTGGAAATCACTCATCTCATAGTTCTCCTTTAAAATTTTTACTGCCCTCTTGCCGCCCATCTGACTGAATTCATGACCTGTACAGGCTTTTAAAACGTCACCTATGAACAATTTTGGGTATCGTCATTTTTTTACCATTTCACAGACGCACACACTTTTCAGATCTAATTTGTCTGCTATCTGCCTGCTCTGCACAACCTCATCTTAATATTTTACCAAAAAAGGGGTATTATATTGTGTTTGCGTCCACCAAAATCAATTAGCATGCATTTTTTTCTACATTTTTGGGTTTGATAAACAGTTGTGCTAATATCACATGACATAGACACAGCTGCCACCATTGTATTCTGCAGGCTCTCTGCTTTCAGAAAATATGTATTTTTGGATGTTTTAGGTAACGTTCAGGCTTCAAGTTTACCGCAGCGCTGAATACTGAAAAATGGCCTGGATGGGAAGGGGGTTTAACACCGCGGATGTCAACTGGTTAACATGTGTGCAAAAACAAACAAACAAAAAAATTTCTGGCAGTAAAAGGGTTAAAAATGTTAGCTACTATGATCTAATGCAGTGGTTCTCAACCTGTGTAACCTCAGGACCCACATTTGTCCTTGGTCATTAAGTCGCGACCCATCTCTCTCTCTCTCTTCCCAGCGCCCCCTCCCACTCCAAACTTACCTTCCCTCTCCTTCAGGCCCATGGCCCTCTTCCTCGTCTTGGCGACCAGGGGGCGGAGCTAAGAGACGGCCCTCTTAGCTCCGCCCCTAAGAGGCGGGACCAGCTCATTCTCCTATCGATATTATTCCGCCTCCCGAAAGTGAGGAAATAGTCCCCGATTTCCCCGGGTCAGTTCACGCGCAGGGGGGTGTATGAGAGGGAACAGTTTTCAATATATAGTTCCCACAGGCTGGCTCGCACAAATCACCCCTCTATGTCTCCCTCCTGAACATGCAGGAAGGACGCCGCGACCCACTGCAGAAGGTGTCGCGACCCACTTTTGGGTAGCGACCCATGAGTTGAGAACCACTGATCTAATGTGTAATTTATTTTATGTACATGAATACAGAAAGCTTCCATTCATCGATGGCGAACACAATAAGACATTACTTTTATTTCCATCAGTAATCTGAGCAGGAGCATGACAAACCCAAATGAATATATAATGGAAGCGCCATCACCGCCACCTTGTGGTCCTGAGCGAAAATGTAGCTCAATTCAGGAACGCTCTGCCACCCAGTGGAGAAGTCGTGTAATGCAGAGGAGGCTTCATTGTACAGGAGAAGCGGAAAGGGAAGTAGTGCTGATGAGCCCGGATCGAGACATGGACGTGGTGACACGGCTGCACATGGGACACAGACATGTCTGAGGCAGTGTTGGAGGAAATCTCTGTGCTGTCAGCCATATACTGTGAGCCGGGAGAATTTGAAGTTCTCTCACGTTCAGGTGAATGACACGGTGCCAGCTCTTATCTACCACAGACTAGATAAACCTATTGATTTGTCATTATTTAATGTATGGATCGATTTAAACCCTTAACACAAGCTGACACATTAAAACAAAGGCTGTTTATGACTGGAAACTGTTACTGCAAATAACACTAACATATAATGGGAATATATTGTGTGTGTGTGTATATATATATATTATACATGTGTGTGTGTGTATGTAATATGAGATACTAGGTATGATGAGCCCATGAAGCAACATAAAGTGTGTGTGCCCATCAATTTGAGTCATGCTCATTTTCGGCAACAAACGCTGTGCTGCTACAAAAGTGCATTGGGGTGCCATTTAGAATCTATAGCACACACATACTGTATGTTATCATGTGTTGCGGTAATGTGCACGTTACTGCACCACAATGGTGTCAATGAACCCTAACCCTAGCTATTCACCCCAACACATTTCTAGCAAAGTTAGCATTACATTGATTAGTTTGCATTCGCATTCTTTGCATATAATAAAATATATGTACAAGCTGGAAGATGGTGTCCTAGCAATTCTTATTTTACCAACAAAATGTACATACTGTGCCTGAACTGGCATATAGGGACAGTATGGGCAATATTACCAAGTTTTCCTCTGCAGGAAGGTCCCCCATATCACACCTTGTAGGTGCCAGCACCCCAGTTACTACATATTACAGATTGTACTTCCTTTAGGAAAAGTAGGTCCCATGTATGGGGTAAACTGACGGAGTTGGATAGCTACGGAAACCGGGTCTGGCTGCCCTGCATTACATATCTATGTCTGTATAGCTAGCCTCTGTTTGGATCTGATCACAGACTCTTTATTTCAGTACAGCCTGAGGATAGGATTCAAACCTCTTAACCCTAACCTAGCCCTAAACGTGCCCACCCTAACATATCCTAACCATTGTCCACCCTAACCATTGCCCACCCTAACCTATCCCTAACCATTGCCCACCCTAACCTATCCCTAACCATTGCCCACCCTAACCTATCCCTAACCATTGCCCACCCTATCCTAGCCCTAACCATTGTCCACCCTATCCTAGCCCTAACCATTGTCCACCCTAACCAATCCTAAATCTAACCATTGTCCACACTAACCTATCCGAACCCTAACCGATGTGCACCCTAACTTATCATAACCCTAACCATTGTCCCCCCTAAACTATTCTAACCCTAACCATTGTCCACCCTAACTTATTTTAAACATTGTCCACCCTAACCTATTCCGACGAATCGACGATGGAAAACGTTGACAACGTTTTCCATCGTCGATTTTAATCGACTTAATCGAATAACTGTTGCAGCTCTAATCCTAACCATTGTTCATCCTACCCTATCTTAACCCTAATCATTGTCCACCCTAGCTTATCCTAGCCCTAACCATATTCCACCCTAAACTATTCTAACCCTAAACTATTCTAACCCTAACCATTGTCCACCCTACCCTATCCGAACCCTAACCATTGTCCACCCTAACCTATCTTGACCGTAACCAATGTTCACCCTAACGTATCCTAACCATTGTCCATCCTAACCTATATTAACCCTAACCATTGTCCACTCTAACCTATCTTAACCCTAACCATTGTCCACCCTAACCTATCCTAACCATTGTTCATCCTAACCTATCTTAACCCTAATCATTGTCCACCCTAACTTATCCTAGCCCTATCCATTGTCCACCCTAATCTATCTTAACCCTATCCATTGTCCATCCTAACCTATCCTAACCCTAACCATTGTCCACCCTAACCTATCCTAACCATTGTCCACCCTAATCTATCCTAACCCTAACCATTTCCACCCTAATATATCCATTAAAGGAAACTTGTTGGAGAGATTCAGGACAGCCAATGTTGACCTTCTTCTAAAAGTGTTAGTTGACTAACTGTTATGTTAAGCCACTGGCTTCACTATTTTGAGGAACAAGATAAGGAAACTCAGGTGTCTTTGTTCATGTACTAGCGTTGGGTCAGTATATCAAAGCATTTAAAGTACATTGGTTTAACATAACAACCCGAAGGAGGCAGGCAATGGCAGCCCTCATATTCAATAAAAGTGTGCATGTGCTTTGCACATGTAGGGCAATGCAACAGGTTTGCTTTAATGCTGGCTCCTGCAGCTGCTTGTACTTCCTTCCCTCCCCTGTTGTCCTCAGGAAGTGAAGTGATATAATTGGTACTCACAGGTATAGGCGGGCATTTGACATACTCCACTTCCTACCCACCGATGTCACGTGGGGGTAGGGAGATAGTCTTTAGCCCTATGTATAACTGGCCATGAACGGTGCGATTTTTGTACAGTTCTTGATAAACCATCAGAAATTCGCACCCTTCCAGCTGGCATTTCTCATTCAGAAGATCAAAGTAGCTGTTTGGAAAATCTTCAGCCGAACAGAGCTTGCAGCCAATTGGCTGCAAGGTCTGTTTGGGTATTCTGTCAGCATCTGGCAGCCGTTGTCTGCATACAGTAAAAACTGCAGGGGATTCCGCCATCTATGCTCGTAAGCACGGATGGAGGAGTCTGTTATAATTAATTAGTTCAGCCTGCAGGTTGAACGAAGAAAAGATGGCGGTGTATGGCTGGCTTTAGCCTCAAGTATATACAGGTATTTGCTTCACTCCAGTGGATGAAGTGGTGGGGAAACAAAGGGATGTTATAAGCTGCTGTGAGGACCTGGGCAGAGACAGGTTCAGATGGGCGGCAAAGAAGCGGTAGAAACAGGCGGTTAAGCTGCATTTTTATGCCAGCCCCTCCCCCAAACTGACCACCTATTTGGTGATGCACCAATTTCAACTCAGCATGTCACATTTGGCAGGTGGCACTGCCTGCTAAAACATGCCCATTAAAGTCTGTGGGACCGCACTGTGATTGGGCACCAACCAATTGGCACACAGCTGTGGCACAGTATTTCAATGTAAAATCCTCTTTGAGATGAGATGGAAAAAAAAACAGGCATTTAGAAAGAGGCAGTATTGTCTCCTGAATACCTGCAAACCACCTAAAACATTTGGGAGGTTTTGGGGAAGGCAGTTGACCCTGCCACTCATGTGAAAGAGGCCAAACTGCTTTTAATCTTTTGTTTGGGTTACTCAGGTACCATTGTAGATCGTTGTGTTTGAGATATTTACTTATATTACAATTGTATAACTTCGAGTTTGTTAAAATTCCACATAAAACATTTTCTTTAAAACAGAACATTACACATTTGTCATAATATGCAAAGGACCTAATGTTCTCTTTTGTTTTATTCAAACAGACAACAATGGTATTTACCTGAAAAGTACTATAATTATGTATATGTCTAAAAGGAAAATTATAATAATAATTGAATCCAAATCACCATCATTAAATAAAATGATTGCTATAATGATGTATAAATTACAGGTACACACTTTTAATTTGCATCCAAATACATAAGGTGGATACAGTTTACCTGGCCAAAGCTTTTGGTTTTCATCCTTGCAACAACTGAGCACACTGGGTTACCCTGATTTATCTCATCATCTGGCTGACGGTGTCCTGGTGTTTTCAGAAGGCCTGTTCTCAAACGTGTTATGCTGCAAGGCAGATTCCAACCTCCGCCTATCGGTCTCTCTCCAGTCTGGCCATAAACTTAAGATTTTTCTTGTTCAACCCCGCAGGCCAAACAAGAAAAATCACTTGAATTCCCCCATTCACATAGTGGAATCTTGCTGGCTATTATATTCTGAAAGCTGATGGCTGCAATCACTGTTCGGTTGATAATTTTCCACTCTGCTCCTTTGACAAAAGTTGACTGAAACATTTGAACTTAGTGGTTCCAGGAGGGCCACCTACGGATTTATTTTTGGATGATTCAGCAGGAATCTAGTTTGCATAGTTTATCAGGGTTATTCACTCGAGGGTGAAGAGTTTGGAGAAGGCAGGAGAAGTGAACAATCTAGGACAACAGAGCTGATTTAGTAAAATTCTCCAATGTACATCACTTTCCAGTTCAGCTATGTTGTCCTAGATTGTTCCCTTCTCCTGCCTTCTCCAAACTCTTCACCCTTTTGTGAATAACCCTGTATGTCTGGAATTCAATATTTTGCCTAGAAACTGAACATTACAGAGAAAGAACAAAGTGACTGCAAACTCAAAGTTACTGATATAAAAGTATGGACTCCATGAGAGATCAGTGATTTAAAATTCCAGTAAGATGGCAGTAGGGTACATATTTCAGGGCAGCACAAAAACATGACCAGGTAGGACATCCGTAGCATGGAGTCCTTGTTAAAATACAGAATCTTGTAGCCACACTTACACGTCATTGTTTGTAGACAAGGTCCTGCATTTTTTGTAAAGAGTTTAAAGTAGTATTAAAGGGTAAGTCCACTTTCCCAAGTAAATTTGGGAAAATGGAATTAGTGACTCCAATCTGGCCCCCTATCCTTCCAACTTACCCCCCGTTATACCTACCTTTCGGGCAAATGCTCCTTCCCCCTCTGCCGGCACAGTGTGCTATCTGTACCCCGAACTGCTGCATAGAGCAGCCTACGCTAAGGATTTTGAATTTAGCTTGCAAAGGGCGTGCACTCATTGATGGTTACTGTGCTGACCAATGAGAAGCGCTTCTCATTGGTCAGGAAACCAATGAGTGTTTGCCATTTGCAAGGGAAATTCAAAAATCCAGGGCTGTACTACACAGCAGCCTGGGGTACGGATAGTAGAATTCACTGAAAGATAATTATATCGAGGGGGGAAGATGGCCAGATTTAAAATTCACTCGGGAAAGTAGACTTACCCTTTAAACTTTCAGACTTAATACGGAAACCGGATCAAACAAAAACATGTTGCCCCGCAAAAACATTCCTTATACTTTTGTCTCTGTCAGCACAGCTTCCCTGAACTTCCTGTCCACTACAAAATCACATGGGAGAGCACAGTCTACAAAAGCTGTTCATCTACTAGCTTGGGGAAGGGAGGAGCAGGGAGGAAGAGATTGGCTTGCCTTGTGTCTGTGTGTTTGTGGATAAACTTACAGCTTACTAGCACACACAAGGGTGGCACCATAGGACCCTGCAAGGGAAAGGAGGCACCCTAAAACAGGATATCGGGGCCAGTGCTCAGGAGATGAGCTGGTCCTGCAGGAAACTAAAACTTTTAAACATCAAGAAGCAGCATCCATTGTAAGTGATTTCATCAGCATTTGAAATAGCTGAGAAACCTTTTGACTTAAGGTGAAATAAAATGCCAAGGGAGACATAGGCTTCTATCATGAGGAGTAATGTGTACAGAGCACTCGATATAGAAATGTCTTTATAGAGTATGAATGCTTTTCACATAGGTCAGTAGCACAAAGGTACAGAAAAACGCAGGATCTGTGCATTGTGAAAGAGAGAGGATACTGCATAATAATAAACAGGAGATGAAGGGTTCATGTCTGTCTAAAGGTGTTGAATTCTATTAAAATCTAATTTTGTCCCTGTAAAAAGATTTAAAGGCTTTACATGTACAAAGTATATGTACAGAGAACACTTTTTTTGCAGTTTTGCAGAAAGTAGAGAATGGTTAAGACACCTGAAGCAAATGGCAACGCACTGATCAATTCATAACCAGCTTTAAAGCAAGGTGCCCATGGAAGGGCTTTACACAGTATAAAAGCAAACGTTTCCCAGCACACTCACCTGCCAGCCTGCAAAAAAACAAATGACACTCTCTAACTATTAGGGTTAAAATAAAGGTTTTAGTTGCACAACTTTTGCAAAGTTTGTGGAAGCCGCATTGCCTCGACAAGGCACCTCTGTGTAGTGCTGTCCAAACTTTAGTCTATGAGAGCCTCCATCTTGGAGCATATATAGCAAAGGATGAACTAGGTGCAGGTTTACCAGGAGGCAGCCCAACCTCCTCAAAGGTATAGGTGCACACCAAAAGCCCCGCACATCACAATGCAGCTGAAGCCCCCAGTGTGTTCCCACACCAAATCCAACAAGTGAAACAAATGGCAAACACACTCATCAATTCATAACTAGCTTCAAACAAGGTGCACATGGAAGGGCTGCCATTTAGCTGCCGTTGTGGTGTGCTGGGCTTCTGGTGTGTCCCTATGCCTTTATGGAGGTTGGGCTACCTCCTGGCAAACCTGCACCCAATTTATCTTTTACTATATATGCCCCAAGATGGAGGTTCTCGTAGATTAGAGTTAGGACCACACTACACAGAGGGGCCTTGACTAGGCAGTGCGGCTTCCACATATTTTGCAAAAGTTGTGCAACTCAAACCTCTGTTTTTAACCCTAATAGTTAGTATATGTTTTTTGTTGTTGGTTTTTTTGCAGGCTGGCTGGTGAGTGCTGGGGAATTTTTTGCTTTTGTACTGGTTAAGGTACTTGTCTTTTTTGGTGGGAAATCTGCCTTCACTTTCTGTTTCAAAGACAAGTGGCAAGTTTGAAAGAAAAAAAATTGCTTTTATATATACTTAACCCAATAACTGACCTACAATGCAGCTGGTATAGTACAGATAAGTACAGAGGAAAGTGGGGAGCAGATGTCACAAAAGAATTCTGAAGGTTAGTGAGTAAGGCACATGTATGTAATTAATAAGTACGAAGACATGTCACCAGTAAAGAAGGCAGAATAGATAAAACGTCAGGCACGGCAAATGTGGTTTGACTTACCTAAACACTAAGGAAAATTATATGCTTTCCTAAAGATGTCTTTTTTTATGAAGTCATTGAACCATTTAGTATGGGCAGAGTTTTACAGAGTGAAGGTGCAGGACAGGAGAATTCCTGACAACAATAGAAAAAGGTCCAAGGCTTGAGTGGCAGCTTTCTGGGGGATCATTGGCTACCTGGTTCCTAGCATTTGTCCATCATTACCATAAAGCAATACATTTGATCAAGAATCAGTTAAAATACGTCACTATGTATTATATCTTCTTAATAACATAAAAAGACACTACATCCCCATTGTGCCTGAACATAAAAATAATTTTCGTCTATTTTGATGGTAAAGTTCCTGTAACTCTGAACTGTCCATTAACATTTGATTCTTGAAGTCCTTAGCACAAGACGAATGACTTGAAGAGCTATTGGAAAATGTAATTTTCCTCTGATTTATTGCTGTCGGGATATCACATTGTGGTTGATTGAGTTTCCATGTTTTGCAGAGAGTGGAATAACAGTAATGATTCAGACAAGCGTGCAGCGGCTAACAGAATCAGAAATTCGTCTACGACTCATATTTGATCTGCCAGTTACATATCCATCCAGCCTACCAAATGTATCTGTCAGCTCGGAAGAACTTACCAGGGTGCAGTGTAAAGAGCTCAGAGACAAATTACTTGGCCAAGCTGGCCGGCATCTCTCAGAACCGATGATACATGACTTGGTCCTGTGGGCGCAACAGAATCTTAACACTCTAATTGGGGATTCCATTTCGGATGAAAACCACCCTCTGTCAGCAGAGACTGTGACTGACGAGGGTACCTGGACGATGCTTTTACATTTAGATCACATGAGAGCAAAGGAAAGATATGTCAGGACAGTAGAAAAATGGACTGCTGATTTGAACTTGACTGGAAAACTGATGTTCATGGGCAAAATAATTCTAATTCTTTTGCAAGGAGACAGGAGTAGTATTCGGGTGAGTAGTGAAGCTCCTTTTCTCCAATACCCAGGGCTAAACAGAAAGCAGAGTGATCTGATCTTACTTCTACAGTACACCTGTCAAAAATGTGGACAATTCAAACTGAGGCTGTGGTGAAAAAATACAGTGAAATGAACCTGTTAAAAAAAAAAAAACACACACAGGCAGCATTAAAAAGCTCCCGGCCGATCTCCACTTACCTTGGTGTTGTCGGCGGGCAGCGGCGTTGATCATGTCGGCGGCCAGCGGCGAATCGGGCAGCTCACCGGGATGAGAGGGCCAGACACATCTCCTCAGCGTGGCGTAAGCGGCGTCGCGTGAGCGGGTATACCGGTGTAGGCGCGAGCGGCTTAAACGACGTGGGCGTGGCGTAAGCGGCGTAAGCGGCGTAAGTGGCGTAAACGGCGGGCGTAAGCAGCGGCGAGCGGGAAATTTGAATTTTAGCCGACGAATCGACGATGGAAAACGTTGACAACGTTTTCCATCGTCGATTTTAATCGACTTAATCGAATAACTGTTGCAGCTCTAATCCTAACCATTGTTCATCCTACCCTATCTTAACCCTAATCATTGTCCACCCTAGCTTATCCTAGCCCTAACCATATTCCACCCTAAACTATTCTAACCCTAAACTATTCTAACCCTAACCATTGTCCACCCTACCCTATCCGAACCCTAACCATTGTCCACCCTAACCTATCTTGACCGTAACCAATGTTCACCCTAACGTATCCTAACCATTGTCCATCCTAACCTATATTAACCCTAACCATTGTCCACTCTAACCTATCTTAACCCTAACCATTGTCCACCCTAACCTATCCTAACCATTGTTCATCCTAACCTATCTTAACCCTAATCATTGTCCACCCTAACTTATCCTAGCCCTATCCATTGTCCACCCTAATCTATCTTAACCCTATCCATTGTCCATCCTAACCTATCCTAACCCTAACCATTGTCCACCCTAACCTATCCTAACCATTGTCCACCCTAATCTATCCTAACCCTAACCATTTCCACCCTAATATATCCATTAAAGGAAACTTGTTGGAGAGATTCAGGACAGCCAATGTTGACCTTCTTCTAAAAGTGTTAGTTGACTAACTGTTATGTTAAGCCACTGGCTTCACTATTTTGAGGAACAAGATAAGGAAACTCAGGTGTCTTTGTTCATGTACTAGCGTTGGGTCAGTATATCAAAGCATTTAAAGTACATTGGTTTAACATAACAACCCGAAGGAGGCAGGCAATGGCAGCCCTCATATTCAATAAAAGTGTGCATGTGCTTTGCACATGTAGGGCAATGCAACAGGTTTGCTTTAATGCTGGCTCCTGCAGCTGCTTGTACTTCCTTCCCTCCCCTGTTGTCCTCAGGAAGTGAAGTGATATAATTGGTACTCACAGGTATAGGCGGGCATTTGACATACTCCACTTCCTACCCACCGATGTCACGTGGGGGTAGGGAGATAGTCTTTAGCCCTATGTATAACTGGCCATGAACGGTGCGATTTTTGTACAGTTCTTGATAAACCATCAGAAATTCGCACCCTTCCAGCTGGCATTTCTCATTCAGAAGATCAAAGTAGCTGTTTGGAAAATCTTCAGCCGAACAGAGCTTGCAGCCAATTGGCTGCAAGGTCTGTTTGGGTATTCTGTCAGCATCTGGCAGCCGTTGTCTGCATACAGTAAAAACTGCAGGGGATTCCGCCATCTATGCTCGTAAGCACGGATGGAGGAGTCTGTTATAATTAATTAGTTCAGCCTGCAGGTTGAACGAAGAAAAGATGGCGGTGTATGGCTGGCTTTAGCCTCAAGTATATACAGGTATTTGCTTCACTCCAGTGGATGAAGTGGTGGGGAAACAAAGGGATGTTATAAGCTGCTGTGAGGACCTGGGCAGAGACAGGTTCAGATGGGCGGCAAAGAAGCGGTAGAAACAGGCGGTTAAGCTGCATTTTTATGCCAGCCCCTCCCCCAAACTGACCACCTATTTGGTGATGCACCAATTTCAACTCAGCATGTCACATTTGGCAGGTGGCACTGCCTGCTAAAACATGCCCATTAAAGTCTGTGGGACCGCACTGTGATTGGGCACCAACCAATTGGCACACAGCTGTGGCACAGTATTTCAATGTAAAATCCTCTTTGAGATGAGATGGAAAAAAAAACAGGCATTTAGAAAGAGGCAGTATTGTCTCCTGAATACCTGCAAACCACCTAAAACATTTGGGAGGTTTTGGGGAAGGCAGTTGACCCTGCCACTCATGTGAAAGAGGCCAAACTGCTTTTAATCTTTTGTTTGGGTTACTCAGGTACCATTGTAGATCGTTGTGTTTGAGATATTTACTTATATTACAATTGTATAACTTCGAGTTTGTTAAAATTCCACATAAAACATTTTCTTTAAAACAGAACATTACACATTTGTCATAATATGCAAAGGACCTAATGTTCTCTTTTGTTTTATTCAAACAGACAACAATGGTATTTACCTGAAAAGTACTATAATTATGTATATGTCTAAAAGGAAAATTATAATAATAATTGAATCCAAATCACCATCATTAAATAAAATGATTGCTATAATGATGTATAAATTACAGGTACACACTTTTAATTTGCATCCAAATACATAAGGTGGATACAGTTTACCTGGCCAAAGCTTTTGGTTTTCATCCTTGCAACAACTGAGCACACTGGGTTACCCTGATTTATCTCATCATCTGGCTGACGGTGTCCTGGTGTTTTCAGAAGGCCTGTTCTCAAACGTGTTATGCTGCAAGGCAGATTCCAACCTCCGCCTATCGGTCTCTCTCCAGTCTGGCCATAAGCTTAAGATTTTTGTTGTTCAACCCCGCAGGCCAAACAAGAAAAATCACTTGAATTCCCCCATTCACATAGTGGAATCTTGCTGGCTATTATATTCTGAAAGCTGATGGCTGCAATCACTGTTCGGTTGATAATTTTCCACTCTGCTCCTTTGACAAAAGTTGACTGAAACATTTGAACTTAGTGGTTCCAGGAGGGCCACCTACGGATTTATTTTTGGATGATTCAGCAGGAATCTAGTTTGCATAGTTTATCAGGGTTATTCACTCGAGGGTGAAGAGTTTGGAGAAGGCAGGAGAAGTGAACAATCTAGGACAACAGAGCTGATTTAGTAAAATTCTCCAATGTACATCACTTTCCAGTTCAGCTATGTTGTCCTAGATTGTTCCCTTCTCCTGCCTTCTCCAAACTCTTCACCCTTTTGTGAATAACCCTGTATGTCTGGAATTCAATATTTTGCCTAGAAACTGAACATTACAGAGAAAGAACAAAGTGACTGCAAACTCAAAGTTACTGATATAAAAGTATGGACTCCATGAGAGATCAGTGATTTAAAATTCCAGTAAGATGGCAGTAGGGTACATATTTCAGGGCAGCACAAAAACATGACCAGGTAGGACATCCGTAGCATGGAGTCCTTGTTAAAATACAGAATCTTGTAGCCACACTTACACGTCATTGTTTGTAGACAAGGTCCTGCATTTTTTGTAAAGAGTTTAAAGTAGTATTAAAGGGTAAGTCCACTTTCCCAAGTAAATTTGGGAAAATGGAATTAGTGACTCCAATCTGGCCCCCTATCCTTCCAACTTACCCCCCGTTATACCTACCTTTCGGGCAAATGCTCCTTCCCCCTCTGCCGGCACAGTGTGCTATCTGTACCCCGAACTGCTGCATAGAGCAGCCTACGCTAAGGATTTTGAATTTAGCTTGCAAAGGGCGTGCACTCATTGATGGTTACTGTGCTGACCAATGAGAAGCGCTTCTCATTGGTCAGGAAACCAATGAGTGTTTGCCATTTGCAAGGGAAATTCAAAAATCCAGGGCTGTACTACACAGCAGCCTGGGGTACGGATAGTAGAATTCACTGAAAGATAATTATATCGAGGGGGGAAGATGGCCAGATTTAAAATTCACTCGGGAAAGTAGACTTACCCTTTAAACTTTCAGACTTAATACGGAAACCGGATCAAACAAAAACATGTTGCCCCGCAAAAACATTCCTTATACTTTTGTCTCTGTCAGCACAGCTTCCCTGAACTTCCTGTCCACTACAAAATCACATGGGAGAGCACAGTCTACAAAAGCTGTTCATCTACTAGCTTGGGGAAGGGAGGAGCAGGGAGGAAGAGATTGGCTTGCCTTGTGTCTGTGTGTTTGTGGATAAACTTACAGCTTACTAGCACACACAAGGGTGGCACCATAGGACCCTGCAAGGGAAAGGAGGCACCCTAAAACAGGATATCGGGGCCAGTGCTCAGGAGATGAGCTGGTCCTGCAGGAAACTAAAACTTTTAAACATCAAGAAGCAGCATCCATTGTAAGTGATTTCATCAGCATTTGAAATAGCTGAGAAACCTTTTGACTTAAGGTGAAATAAAATGCCAAGGGAGACATAGGCTTCTATCATGAGGAGTAATGTGTACAGAGCACTCGATATAGAAATGTCTTTATAGAGTATGAATGCTTTTCACATAGGTCAGTAGCACAAAGGTACAGAAAAACGCAGGATCTGTGCATTGTGAAAGAGAGAGGATACTGCATAATAATAAACAGGAGATGAAGGGTTCATGTCTGTCTAAAGGTGTTGAATTCTATTAAAATCTAATTTTGTCCCTGTAAAAAGATTTAAAGGCTTTACATGTACAAAGTATATGTACAGAGAACACTTTTTTTGCAGTTTTGCAGAAAGTAGAGAATGGTTAAGACACCTGAAGCAAATGGCAACGCACTGATCAATTCATAACCAGCTTTAAAGCAAGGTGCCCATGGAAGGGCTTTACACAGTATAAAAGCAAACGTTTCCCAGCACACTCACCTGCCAGCCTGCAAAAAAACAAATGACACTCTCTAACTATTAGGGTTAAAATAAAGGTTTTAGTTGCACAACTTTTGCAAAGTTTGTGGAAGCCGCATTGCCTCGACAAGGCACCTCTGTGTAGTGCTGTCCAAACTTTAGTCTATGAGAGCCTCCATCTTGGAGCATATATAGCAAAGGATGAACTAGGTGCAGGTTTACCAGGAGGCAGCCCAACCTCCTCAAAGGTATAGGTGCACACCAAAAGCCCCGCACATCACAATGCAGCTGAAGCCCCCAGTGTGTTCCCACACCAAATCCAACAAGTGAAACAAATGGCAAACACACTCATCAATTCATAACTAGCTTCAAACAAGGTGCACATGGAAGGGCTGCCATTTAGCTGCCGTTGTGGTGTGCTGGGCTTCTGGTGTGTCCCTATGCCTTTATGGAGGTTGGGCTACCTCCTGGCAAACCTGCACCCAATTTATCTTTTACTATATATGCCCCAAGATGGAGGTTCTCGTAGATTAGAGTTAGGACCACACTACACAGAGGGGCCTTGACTAGGCAGTGCGGCTTCCACATATTTTGCAAAAGTTGTGCAACTCAAACCTCTGTTTTTAACCCTAATAGTTAGTATATGTTTTTTGTTGTTGGTTTTTTTGCAGGCTGGCTGGTGAGTGCTGGGGAATTTTTTGCTTTTGTACTGGTTAAGGTACTTGTCTTTTTTGGTGGGAAATCTGCCTTCACTTTCTGTTTCAAAGACAAGTGGCAAGTTTGAAAGAAAAAAAATTGCTTTTATATATACTTAACCCAATAACTGACCTACAATGCAGCTGGTATAGTACAGATAAGTACAGAGGAAAGTGGGGAGCAGATGTCACAAAAGAATTCTGAAGGTTAGTGAGTAAGGCACATGTATGTAATTAATAAGTACGAAGACATGTCACCAGTAAAGAAGGCAGAATAGATAAAACGTCAGGCACGGCAAATGTGGTTTGACTTACCTAAACACTAAGGAAAATTATATGCTTTCCTAAAGATGTCTTTTTTTATGAAGTCATTGAACCATTTAGTATGGGCAGAGTTTTACAGAGTGAAGGTGCAGGACAGGAGAATTCCTGACAACAATAGAAAAAGGTCCAAGGCTTGAGTGGCAGCTTTCTGGGGGATCATTGGCTACCTGGTTCCTAGCATTTGTCCATCATTACCATAAAGCAATACATTTGATCAAGAATCAGTTAAAATACGTCACTATGTATTATATCTTCTTAATAACATAAAAAGACACTACATCCCCATTGTGCCTGAACATAAAAATAATTTTCGTCTATTTTGATGGTAAAGTTCCTGTAACTCTGAACTGTCCATTAACATTTGATTCTTGAAGTCCTTAGCACAAGACGAATGACTTGAAGAGCTATTGGAAAATGTAATTTTCCTCTGATTTATTGCTGTCGGGATATCACATTGTGGTTGATTGAGTTTCCATGTTTTGCAGAGAGTGGAATAACAGTAATGATTCAGACAAGCGTGCAGCGGCTAACAGAATCAGAAATTCGTCTACGACTCATATTTGATCTGCCAGTTACATATCCATCCAGCCTACCAAATGTATCTGTCAGCTCGGAAGAACTTACCAGGGTGCAGTGTAAAGAGCTCAGAGACAAATTACTTGGCCAAGCTGGCCGGCATCTCTCAGAACCGATGATACATGACTTGGTCCTGTGGGCGCAACAGAATCTTAACACTCTAATTGGGGATTCCATTTCGGATGAAAACCACCCTCTGTCAGCAGAGACTGTGACTGACGAGGGTACCTGGACGATGCTTTTACATTTAGATCACATGAGAGCAAAGGAAAGATATGTCAGGACAGTAGAAAAATGGACTGCTGATTTGAACTTGACTGGAAAACTGATGTTCATGGGCAAAATAATTCTAATTCTTTTGCAAGGAGACAGGAGTAGTATTCGGGTGAGTAGTGAAGCTCCTTTTCTCCAATACCCAGGGCTAAACAGAAAGCAGAGTGATCTGATCTTACTTCTACAGTACACCTGTCAAAAATGTGGACAATTCAAACTGAGGCTGTGGTGAAAAAATACAGTGAAATGAACCTGTGCCCACAATATGTACATTAAATTATTTACAGATTCTGAACAAGCAGTAAAAGTACTTCAAAACAAGCGTTCATTCACATCTGTAGCTGCAGGCAATTTGGAGAAACTCATCTTCAAAATTCACATTGGAGGCGCTGAAATCACAGCTCCTCTCTAATTATTTTCTATGACTTCAGAAATTTGGCAGCCTACCAGCCGTCTAACATTAACCAACACTAGACTATTGTAAGCTCTAAGGAATTAAACCTGACCAAAACTGAACTGAGGCCGAACCAGTATATTTTTATCTCTTGCAAAAATGTTTTTTTTTTAATGCAGGATAGTATTCTGTTTGCTTTGCTAGCTGTATCTTGCCATTACATGCTATTTATTGAGTTTGTGGTCTGTAAGAACCCTCAGATCTTTATCTATGTCTTCCCCAGAGGAGCACTTCCTAGATAGTATTTGCATGCATGTTCTTAGCTCCCATGTGCATACCTATGCATTTTCCACTACTGGATTGCATCTGCCAAGTTGCAGCCCACTCCTCAATTTTAACTAGGTATTGCTGCAGTGATTTTATGTCTTGTTTTGAAGTTATTGCCCTACATAGCTTAGTATCATCAGCAAATGCTGAGAGCAAAGACTCCAATGCTAGAAAACAGGCAATGACTTTAGGTACACTTTAAAACAGCATATTAAAAAATTAAATGCAACAATCAAATAAAACAATTAGTGGGTTGAGATATTTAGTCAACTAAAGTGCAACTCTTGACTTTTCCTAAACATCAAGCTTGGCTCTGACCTCTTTAACTTCCTGATCATTCTTTTATTCATCAGTGAGGCTGCTGTTTATGTTAAAAGACCAATGGGGCGGTTTGGGAATTTAGAAGAGGTGGGTGTGTGGTTGACCTTATCAGGAGAGACTGAGTTTTGCATATAAACTTCAGCTACCTATATCTCTGAAACTACTGGTTCCTTTAACCACTTCAAGACCAGGTGTTTAGACCCCCTTCCTGGCCAGGCCATTTTTCAGCATTCAGCGCTGCGGTACTTTGACTGACGCTTATTCCGCCATGCAACGCTGTACAGAAATGAATTTTATACCATTTTTTGGGGACAGATAGAGCTTTATTTTGGTGGTATTTAATCACCACTGGGGTTTTTATTTTTTATTATAATTAGGAAAAATTACAGAAAATTTTGAAAAAAAAAAGTTTTTTTTTTACATTATGTTAAGAAACATTTATTATTACCCATTTTTTTGGTAAAATATAAAAGATCGGGTCACGTCGGGTAAATAGACACCAAACATGTCAAGCTTTAAAATTGCGCGCACCCGCGAAATTGCAGAAAACTACCATACCCAAAATTGGCCATAGGCGACTCTTTAGAAGCTTGGGGGGGCACCAATCGGCACCCCATACACGCGATCCGCCGACTCTAAAGCCGACGGATCGCTTGTATGGTATCAGGCATCGCTGTCTGTTTTTAAAAAACGGCAATTTCCCGCTCGTGTCTGAGGGGGGCGTTTCTGAGCGGACGTCTAAAGACGCCCGCTCAGATCTAGAGAGCTCCGGGCCGGCCGTTTTTCTACTATGGCCGGCCCGGAGGCAGTTAAAGGGGTTTCCCCCGAGAATAACCTGTACTTTTATTTGTTCTCTTAATATTATTTGAATTCCCCAGTGTAAAAGAGAATGCTCAAAAGGATATTTAATCAGTTGGTAGACTCTGTAGGGCTGAATGACCAATAACTTAAGTTCATTGGGGACTCCATTGGTGAGATATCCTAAGAAGATTTTTGTTTCTTTAGTTACCCACATTTTAAAGTAGACCTTGTACTAAAAGGCAAAGTGTGCTTGTTCGCAGGCCTTCCTCTCCTATGTATATAAAAAAAAGGTAAACAATTAAATTACGTTACCCCCAGCTTCTGCACTGGGAGGGTATCATCAACCATCCTTCTGGTGAGATTGGAAGAGATGAAGATCCCATATCTAATGAAAGTAAACTGCACTGTGCTGGAGTGTCTTCTTACAACAGTTGGGCTACACACTGTTCCCAAGATCTCGCCAGAAGGATTGTGACATCACCTTCTCCACCGTGAAAGCCAGGGAAAGGGTTTTCTAATTAATTTTTTTTTTTTACCCATAGGCGCTTTAAGAAAAACACACAAATCCTCACGTTGAGCAGTACCTCATTAAGATTAAAGTGATCTGAAACATCTACTCAGTCCTTCCTCTACAACAGGGAGCGTGTCGGACTTTGGGCTAGTTTTACATAAGGCCTGAATGCTTGTCTGTATCTAGAAGCCATACGTACTTAGCCGTCTGTTCTGTGTTAAAATACCAAGCTCACTGTAAAAAGTTCTTTCCACATTTGTGGCCTGTTCTACAGGAATATATGGTCCTCCAGAAAAGCTGTAAAGTGGACGTGGACTCCAGTGGAAAGAAATGTAAAGAGAAAATGATTAGCGTTTTATGTGAAGTGAAATTACCACTAGACCAAAAGAGGTAATTTGCCTTACTGATAAACAGCATTAGTTCTTTTAAAAGGATGATACCTCTGAATGTAAAATGTATCATAAAGTGCTATGAGTAACACAGACCGAAGGAGCATGGTGCACTTCCAAACAATTGGTATTTATTTTATAAAGAGGTTCTAAGCTGTCCAAAACAGATTTTAATGGGGGGACTTTCATAAAGGTATCACAGCTATAAAAGCATGTTCTAAACTTTCCCTACTGCATTCAAATTTTTTTTTGTTAGCCCCACTTGTTGCCTTTGCCATATCCAATACAAATTCCTTGCTGGCCATTGGGAAGGTCACTGGAAGTTGGCATAGCTTATTCCAACCTTAACCAAATTTTTAGGGGAGAGATTTCACCTTACTGAGAGTCATCAACTCTGCAAGACATGGAGGAAATCTCCCAAGGTGTATACAGATAGCAAATAAAGCTAGGGTAATTCCCTTTACTACCTGATGCCCATCAAACAGGCATGGAATAAAGAGCAGTCTTCCAGAGACATGTCCACAGGCTCTTGCCATCTCACGTAGCATACCTACAGGCTTTGACCATCTCTTGTTGCATTCTTGCAGGCTCTGACTATCCATTTTAGCATACTGGTAGTCTCTAACCATCTCTTGTAGCATGCTGGCAGGCTCTGAAAATCTTTTGTGGCATACCTGCAGGCTGTGACCATCTCTTTTATTCTGCCCACAGGTTATGACCATCTCTTGTAGCATGACCACATTCTTTGACCATCTCTTGTAGCATGCTCTCGGGCTCTGACCATCTCTTGAAGCTACCTAAAGGCTCTGACCATCTATTGTAGCATGCCTGCAAACTCTGACCATTACTTGTAGCATACCTGCAGCCTCTGACCATCTCTTGCAGCTTACCTTCAGACTCTAAGCATCTCCTGCCCCTGACAGCTTTCTGTAGCATTGCATTCAGTGCATTATGTCAGGGCCTGCACTTGAGCCCTCCCACTATATCAGGAACAGCCACTTTTCTAATCCCTCCACACTTTTTAAAATATAAGTGATTTTACATCTGTGTCCCAGTGACAATGCAAGGGAAATCATCTCAACGGTGGTGCAGAAAGCAGTTAAAAAAATCTCTCATGAGTTCTACCCCGGTGGTTGTCAATTTATGAGTTACAAGGGGCTTCAGCTGTGGCCCCTGACATCATGCAAGGGGCCTCACATAATGTTAGTATGTGTAATCCTAGAATGGACTGTCAAAAACTGCAGATATACTAGCGTAAATGATGGTCAAAGACTGTAGACAGGCAGCAGGTTTGGTTGGGGACTGGAGACATTGTGCAAGTGACAGTGAGAGACTGGGGTCATGTCAAATGGGGTTAGTGATCACTTATACTACCCCTTTACAAATCACTGGTCTCGCTACCACCACAGAGTGCTGGGCTCCAAGAGCAGCACATCAGGCACCCAAGGGATGCAGGAGGGTTCTAACTCCTCTCCACTCCATTTAAAACAAAATAAAAACAGTTTTGCCTAAAGTATATTTCATATCACATTTTCCTTTCTTTACAGACTTTCTACATTTGAAGTGAAGGTTTATCCATCGGTTAGTGACTTAGAAAGAGAATTTGAAACAGTCGGACTCTCAACAGTTTTCACAGATTATGTCCGAGGTATTTTATAAACACTGAGTCTGAGAAAATGAGTCTGATTACACTGACCAGGCAGAAAAGAAAGAATATCCATATCTGAAATGTTAGCATGGCTGCACAGATTTTGATGAAGACGTTTCATTGGAGTTCTGATACCCCTTGTTTCTCTTGTAATTTCACATGAAAGCTTATTCAAATTTGAAATTGCATGGCAGAAGGTTAACTGTACATGACAGGGTATACTTTGTTGTCTGCACCATACATGTTCTCATATTTTTCCAGATGTGTCATCTTTTATTAAAATTATGCTTGGATACATGAAACACTTTGTCAAGAGATTTACTTATCATCTGCGGGGACAGCTCTGCTCATTTAAAAGATTTGTTTGATGTACAGTATTCTTTAAAGCTAAATTCCAGAATAAGCAAATATCGGTGGAATACAAGAGTCATGTGTATTCTTACTTGAATCTTGATGTGCTTTGTGTATTTCTTCCTGATCTATGCAGCAATCCACTGTGAAACTTTACCTCTGTGCAGGAGCTTCCTGTAATAAAGACCAGTCACTGCTTCTCTCTCTATCCTTGTTCAAGGTGACTGGTCTTGTCTCCACCCCTCCTGTAGTTTTCTACTGGCAGTCTGTAGTGGGTGGAGCCTGCTGGGCCCCTCGTACTACTTTGTGCAGCACAGTGATGATATCAATACTACTTTTAAAAGGTAACGACTGGGTTTATCAAGGAATTTGGTGTACACAAAGTGGATTTGTATCCTTTGTGGCCATTAAGGGATACATTTAAATAAATGTTTTTGCGCCTTGGGTCTGGCAACCATTCGTTATGCCCAAGAACTGTCACATGACAGAGGAAGTGAGGTCACTTCTTCCCTTGGGTTCATAACCAGCCAACACTTGGGACTCTGGTTCAGGCGACGATGGAGGAAAGAGTGGTGATGCAAGGTGAGTATCGGGGGTTTAAAGGGTCCTTTTTGTAAAGACACTATCACTTTTGCTCTGAATAGGTAAGATGACAGTGTCTCTGTACATTCTGCCCTCCATTATGACTCCAGACAGGCACAGTTTATATATAAAATCTGTAGACTACAGACAACTATATCGGTGTTCTGTCTCACACAGACAGTGCAGCGAGTATGTTTTCAAAATCAAATTGAGACCGTCTCAAATAATACACACTTTAATCCTTCATACTTCATAACAAGTATCCATCGACATTGTTTTTCTTACTGAATGACTGTCAGTTTGTTTAAGAAAAGCTACATCTACAATTTCTCTAAAATTGGAAAGTTCTGAGTCAGTGACAGCTACAACTCCAGGATGGACTATAGATTTTCTGCTTAATCTGGCATACTTTAATAACCTTATACTTGGCAGGTGATATGAGTACAGCTTGTCGGCTCTTGGAAAGGAACATAAAAGGGAATGTCCTTCTTTTATTCTATCAAACATAGTGTTTTAACCTTCCAGTTAATCTTCTGTGTATGAAAAGAATTAAGAAGCAATCTTGTGTGAAGGTGGAATGGAATTATTTTATCAAAAAGTATTGGATGTACAATATGTATGTATAAATATATACCAGCAAAAGTGTGCCTGTTTTTGAACAGTAGAAAGGTAAAAGAAAACCAAAGATGCGTTTTAGGTATGGAAAAAAATAAACAAACCCAAACTGATGTTTGATGATACCTATTGCATCTCTTAGGGCTCTAGCACATGACAGCAAGAACCTGCATACAAAATGCTGTGTATGCATGTAATGTTAGTGTAATGTTTACATGCATACACCATATAGCGCAAAGGTGACCAATTGGTTTCTAGGATGCGAAGCAGGTAGAGCTACCGGCTTTTTAGCAACAAAGGACATAGGGCAGCTCGAGCTACCTGCATTCTAACAATGAGGATGGTAGGCGGCAAGGAGCTGCCTACATCCTAGCAACAAAGGATGCTAGGTAGCTTAAAAAGGACCTGAGGCTGCCTACCTACAGACTTTAGGCTGCTTAAGCTGCCTACATTTTAGCAAAAAAGGTATCTCGACAGCTTGAGTCACCTGCATCAAGCAACGCATTATGCTAGGAGGCAACTGCCAATGCAGGTGGCTCCAGTAGAGTTCATTTGGGCTGTTTGCTCATAAAATATGGTTCATACACAGGACACCAGCTATAGATTTCTTTATATTGATTTTACGAATCTGAATGAAAGTTTACTGATCTGTACGCGCTGTGTGAATGGGCCCATTTAGAACAATACACCTGAACTACATCTGTGCAAAAAACTGCACGGTACTGATAAAAATGCATCTTTTTTGCAGCTACGTGTGCGGGTCCTTAAAGTGGCTCTGTCAGTAAAGGAAATAAATCTGCTAGCAGTTATAACGTGTAGGTGAAGGTGCCATAACACACCTGCAACATCTTTAATTGCTTTCTGCTTCCCTACTGGGCAATAATGGGCTTTCTCACTAGCCAATGGAAATGCATGGGTGGGGGCAAGCTACATCACGATAAAGAAGTGTTGGGGATATCCTGATACAGAATGGCCAGGCTTTCAGGCATGCTGTAAACAAATACAGCTGCTACAGGTATGTGCAAGCACATCTAGATGTCTGCTCAATATACCTGCTGGGCACTATATTTTGTTTTTGCTCCACACTAAACCTTAACCTCCCTGGCGGTATGATTATGTCAGGAATTTTGTGCCAAAAGCGGTACATTGTTTTTCATGGACATTTGTTGTTTTATATTGTAGGCCTGTAATTCTTAGTAAATCTTAGGAATAACTCACCTAAATCTGTCCAAACAAGAGTCTAGTAGACATCCCAGGTATGATAAAGTTTGAAACACGAAATTAAAAAATTATAATATAATAAATTATAAATAATTATAAGAAATTATAATATAATAAATAATTATAAAAAATTATAATATAATAATTTAAAAAAATGGTCCAGTAAATGGGAATTCTGGGGGCGCAGCCTGATCCGTACCACAGTCAATAGAGTACCAAGTTCGCACATCACTGAGCTTGGTCGCAGAATCATCGCTGTTTTAGGTCAAAAGCGGTTTTAGACCAGGTAGAAAACAGCGATAGTAAATTAGAACTACTTGCAGAATTGAGTGATAGCGATTCGTTGGGAAATTCCTCAACAGACACTGAAAGTGAGGACAGCGAGGATTCTGCGACCGAGCTCAGTGATGTGCGAACTTGGTACTTTATTTACTGTGGTACGGATCAGGCAACGACCCCAGAATTCCCATTTACTGGACCATTTTTTAAATTATTTTATTATAATTTATTATAATTTTTTATTATATTATAATTTCTTATAATTGTGAAAAAGTGTCAGGCAGGGCAGTGGACAAAGCTCTAGGGACAAAATTGAAGTGAAATAGTTTGATAAATAAGTGTAATCATAGCAGATTACATTGTATTGTGTGTATTCTGTGTACATTACAACTTTTCAGTTTTGAATTTCCCGCCGGCTGTGACGCTCGAAAACGAAACTAAAAGTCAGATGCCGGCTTTTAGTTTCATTTTCGGGCCGCGTACAGCAGAGGACGCCGCGGGCTCGCAGGGACAAGGTAAGTGTCACTTTTCTCTGCTGCCCCGAGTCTGGCTTGGGGTTCACCGCTCCTGGTATGGAAAATTCACCCCGAGCCAGACTCGGGATTACCGCCAGGGAGGTTAACATTGCTCCATGCTCAGTTCCCTGGCCCAGCATATTATATCTAAAAGTCTCTTAGTCTTAGTGCAAACACAAGTGATACATTATACAGCAATGCTGAACGACAAACGGCTAAAGAGGACTACAAATCTCAGCAATGCATTATACAGCAATATAGAATAATATGAAGCTACATACTCCGTTGTATCAGCCTGATGTCTTCAGTGGAGGATCTCAAGTGGCTGTGCGGGGCCTCGGGTGGCTGTGCGGGGTCTATGGTGGGCTGTGCAGAGTCTCTGGTGGGCTCTGCGGGGTCTATGGTGGCGTGGGTTCTCAGGTGGTTGTGCAGGCTCTCAGGTGGCTGTGCAGGGGTCTATGGTGGGCTCTGTGGGGTCTATGGTGGGCTCTGTGGGGTCTCAGGTGGCTGTGCACGGTCTATGGTGGGCTGTGGTGCGCTGTGCAGGGTCTATGGTGGGCATTGCAGGCACTACAGTGGGCTGTGTGGGGTCTATTGTGGGATGTGCAGACTCTCAGGTGGCCTGTGCAGGTTCTATGGTGGCGCTTAGTATAGACACTCAGTATTGGAGCTTTTTCACAAGTACGACTATCGATACTGGTTGGAAAGTTTTATGCAGGTGCCGCAGAAGCAGGAAGGAGGGTCGCAGCAAACAGCAGCTGTCAATCAGGTACACATGAGATGGCTGGGGGCACAGGATGTTGGATGCTCGGTGCAGAAAGGCAGGCACGACATCCACAGGTAGAAACTACAGCCCCAACTAGGTACTATTTAAGTTTTTGGGCCACATAATTATGGCCAACTGGAGGATTTGCTCTGACAGGCAAGTACAAGCCTGCATGTGTCAAGGAACATGAGTCTGCACAAGATCAAGCATCAGCAAATGCATATCTGTCTGGATATGTATGGAACTCAATTATTTATTTTCAAGCCTAACCACACTGCTGGAATAATCAGGAATAATGTTACATATGAAGCAGTACCCTTCAAGAGCATTCTGGTAATGCTGCAATTAGAACCTATTTACTTCTGAAAAGGGTCACAATGAGAAACAAATGCCTAGAGAATTGTCAGAGAACGGATCTCTTTTTAACTACCTTGAATGGTTCCAATATTAAGATTTCTATGTATTCATTGATCAGGCGACAACCAGCCTAGATCAAACACTCTTAAAAAAATAAAAATTTACTACAAATAAAAAAAAACTATATTCTGGGCACAGCACAGAATAGTGCATGTACACCAGACCGCAGGCATTGCTCTACCATGCATTCTGGTGCAGGCAATTGCACTGTGGGCGGGAGGCGTGTCTGCAGTGGCACCACCACACCCCCTACTGCCCCAGAACACGGGAGGCTCGCGAAATTATAGCTTTTTTGCCTACAAACGTCAGGTGGTCATAATAATCTGGCCACTCAGTGTACACACGAGTGTGTATATTTGTACATTTGTGTGCACACCCTAATGCAATAGGCTGCACACGCCCATGGCTGAGGGTTATAATTTCTACTTGGTTTCTCCTTATTTTTAATGTTAGGAGGGGTTGTGAGGGGTGAGGGGTTTGTGTTAACCCTGTCTGTACTGCCCTGGATCAGTTCATAATTTGTAAAGTGAATTTGAACAGTGCCTGCCCTAACAAAGGGTTAAACACCTAAATTCTGCATTGTATATTAGTTAAATCAATGAGAGAAACACAATCACAAGGTTCTCTCCTAAGTCTTTCTATAAGGCCAGATCACTGTGATTGTGCTCTGAA